AAACATTCCTGACCAGTAGCGGTGAACTATACGTTGGTTGTGAGATGGTAGTTGAAGCAATAGTTGTTGCAGCAATCAAAATGACTGTTGAGTCTATTGCTGAATCAGTTATTTCGCGCTACAATACGCACAACAGTAAACTAAGAAGTATGTCCGAGGAAGCTGTGAACAACGAGCTGTGGATTGCCTGCAACGGCCCAGAGCTTGGTGGTGCTGATCGCATCTTATCTTCATCCTTGTCAAAGTATTTCAGGCATGGAAACTGGCATTTTGTAACAAGAAAAGGAGAGCAGAGTAAACTTTATAACAGCAAAGTTATAAACAGAATCATCTCACAAGAATCGAGATTGCCCTTCGTTACACAATAGGGTGCATGTTAAGCAAATATCTACTTCACTGTGCTATGTAAAGTTTCTATTTGGTTAAACGTATAAGCATCAAGCAGTCGAACTGTTGATGCAATTGTATGATTTAAGCTAGCCTACTCAGTATTATGTGAGTTATTACAGTAGTTCACTTCGACTTTGTAAATAGATTCTATATACACCACAAAAATATTACTCTTTTTAGTCTATTTCAATAATTATGTAACTTTTTCTGGATAAATGATAAGTGATAACATGCGTTTGCTGTGAGCCTGCCCACAAAATAAAACAACTGTTGCCGACTTGTATGCGGCACTTGTTGTTAGATGTATGCAAAAAGTGCAAAGAATGATCATTCCTTAGTTAAAACCATAATCACCAATCACGTGTGCATTATACAGGTAGCTACAATTTATAGCGCTATATTTGACATGGTCATAATCTACACACTGCAGGTCTGCAGGAAATTTATAATCTTCTTACTGTGCTCGCAGGAAGAAAATTATTTTTTCCACCCCTGGTTATCTATCTGAATCATAAAATTGTTAACTCAATATATAGAATTGATTATAATATTAGCTTATCAGTTCAGTGCATATTTCTTGGTTTATAGCATGTAAATGGTTGACTTTAAATTAATATTTAACCCATTGGCATTGAGCTGGAATGTGCCCCAATGCGCCCTACTTTTTTTCACCTGTCTAACGCCAGTGTCTTCACTCATGTCTAACCCTGCATATATGTGTGTGATATATTGTGCCTGTTTATGTGATAATGGCATGGCTGGACAGGTTTTAATCCAGGATGGTGTGTTTAATATATAGACGGAATACCGTCTCTCCGCCTGGCAGGGATGATAGAGTGCTTGTATAAGAATTTCTCGTCCTGGCAGATGCAATCCCGGCAACAAATAATGGGAACCTGCCTAGGCCAGAAAGAAGTAGAATAATTCACTTTACCGTAAACAGTCAATAGAGTTCATATTGCAAGCTAGATGAGATGGGGTGTTAACGGGATATTACACTAGGCCGTACATTGCATAAGCTGCATTGTGCCACAACTTTATTGTTTTACTCCTTATAATGTCAGATGATTTTACCTATCAGTGCCATCACTCAACGGGTTACTGAAACAAGTAGCACTTATCTCACATACAACTGAGGTTAAATCATAACCATATGAATGTTTTCTGGAATATGAGGCAATAGCATATTAAATCACAAATACCAACACCATCGCCGTTACATTTTATACCAATCTAATGGATTTTGCTGCAAAAATTCTTTCTCATGTTATAAACTCTATCCTACATAATAGAATGATTACAAATAAATTACTTATTTCCTTTCATGGGAAAATTTGAGTCATTATGGTCAATTTGAGTCATTATGGTCAATTTGAGTCCAAGAAATCATGGTCCCACAGTCAAACTGTCAAATTTTAACCCATGAAGTTGCATCGCACCCTTTATTGTATTCCTGTCTAATGCCAGACAATTTTATTTGTGAGTGGGAGAGTGATGGTGGTTAATTGGTTAAGGATGCCAACTAAGTTATATCATTATGCTTTCAATAAGTAACACAGTTGTAATTTAACACTTGCCCAGGGCAAGTGAATATCATTGTCACAAAAAGCTGGGCATCAAGTTTATGTTTTCATTGCCAGATAAATGTTTTATGCAGTGCATGTTGTACTTGTGCATGGATTCAAATTTTGTTTTTCTGTTGGCCACAGCCAGGTCTGAAGCAGTATAACATAGCCATCTAGAGCAGTGGAAGAATGTGTCGACATGTTGTCCCCTTAATTTATAGCCCCTACCTGGGTACCCCAGTGGCCATTGTCTCATGGCAAGTGAATTTTATTCACGGCAACTAATTTTCATATCCAACCTGGCAAGTTGAACTTGCCCTGATGACAAATGGTCAAAAAAGTAAAGTTATACCACTGACTACTGAGTAAGGTATATATGAGCTACAGTATCATGGTTATAAAAACTCTGGAATAAGGTATGCGGTTATTTTAAAAAAATTTACATTATCACTCATCAATATGTCTGCATGCAGGTTGTTGAAGAAGATCGGAGGAGCCTCAATCAATCCAAAGAAGCAGAAGAAAGTGCATACATGAGGAATTGTGAAAAGCAGCAGCTGATTGACCAATTGCACCCACTTATTTACTATCATGGCATTTCAAAAGGAGTTATGAAGCCACCACATGAACAGTGATCTGGTAATTAAATGATATCATTTTGTTTTTTTATTAATTAGAGTACCGGTACCAACATTGAATTCATTAGCACCAGGGGTGGAAAAAGTATCGGACCACGGGACCATTGGTCGCAGAAAATTTTTTGAGTTCCCAGAAAATATTTTCCCAAGAAAGAAAAATTGTAATAATTCAAATAAAAAGAGAAATTCAGAGGAAAATTCACACCATGACCTCAGAAATGCAATTATAAGTGTAACCATCTTAATAGTGCGATAGTGTATAAATGTATTAGACTATAGAACGATGTAAAAAATGTTGTATGGTAAATGCATTTTTAGTTGATCTGGGACAATTGGGGGGAGCAATGGAGCATGCATGATCTCCCTGATAGTGTCCCCTAAAAGTGCCCTAGCTTTTTTGGTATCTGTATTTACCCTTAGGATCAGACCCTTGATGCATGTCAGTTTTATGTTATATTTTAAGATTCTTAGTGAAATATTATTTCCAGTGAAATATTTTTTCCTGTGAAATATAGCATGACATCCAGTTTGACAACTTGTTAGTGTCACACAATCACAGTGTCCAAATGTCCATTTACTTGACTATTTACAGAAAATGTTCAATGTTCTCTTGCGGTCCCAGAAAGTAAAATATTTTTTCCACCCCTGATGGGACCATTGGTCCCAGAAAATGTTTTGAGTTCCCAGAAAATATTTCCCCAAGAAAGAAAAAATTGTAATAATTTAGATAAAAGGAGAAATTCAGAGGAAAATTAACACCATGACCTCAGAAATGCAATTATAAGTGCAACCATCTTAATAGTGCGATAGTTTTGCGATAGTGTATAAATGTATTAGACTATAGAATGATGTAACAATTGTTGTATGGCAAATGCATTTTTAGCCAATCTGGGACACTTGATTTCAAAGGGAGAGCATGGATCCACCTGATAGTGCCCCCCAGTGCCAATTTTGCATCTGTATTTACTTTAGGATCAGACCCTTGATGCATGTTATCTATATTAGCTTTATGTTATATTTTAAGATTCTCAGTGCACTGAAATATTTTTTTCTGTAAATATACATGTAGCATGACATCCAGTTTGACAACTTATTAGGTGTCACACAGTTACATTGGCCGAGTGTCGATTTACTTGATCATTTGCAGAAAAATTTTCAATATAATGAACTTTTTGCGGTCCCAGAAAGTAAAATATTTTTTCCACCCCTGAGCTTGTTAGTGAAAACATAAGCTGTTAATTAATGAGGGTTGTGTAGTTGTTACCAAAACTATTTTTGTGGGTTTTTTTTCCTCAAAAGGAAGGAGACACAGACTTGACTACCTGGCTGCAAATGAGACCCAATGACATACTGTATCAGGGCTGATCATGACATGGAGCTATTGGCAACATTCGAGAATAGCGAAACTGTAAAAGCCATCTTTACTTCCTGGCGTTGTTCTACTGTACCTGCTCGACTTAGACTACCCATCCAGACTCAGCAGTCTGACATGGTAAAGGCTTTTCAAGAAATTGAACAATATTGCTACGTGTGAGAACTTTTACATTTATCTATCAGTAATTACTTTAATAACCTATTCATGTATAGCTGGTAAATATATTATTTTAAACATTCTTAATTGTTTTTATATTGTAGGATGACAACAGCAAAAATCATGCCAAGATTATTATTCTAATTTCATATTGTCATTTAAGAAAAATATTCTTAAAAGCCATGCACACCGGATCGAACTAGAATAATTTTCTTAGCAGGATTTCAATTCAAGATAATTTTTCTAATTTTGTCCCATGGGTAAGTAAAATTTTCTTATTAAGATTATTTTTCTTATTTCAAGAAAACGTTCTATCAAAATTTTCTTATTACTAGAAAATAATTCTTGGGAAACTAAGAATTTTTTTCTAGAAATAAGAAAATTTTGCTAGAACGTTTTCTTGAAATAAGAAAAATATTCTTGATAAGAAAATTTTACTTACCCACGGGACAAAATTAGAAAAATTTTCTTACCAAGAATTTTGTTCTAAACAAGATTAATTTTCTTATTTTAAGAAAAATTTTCTTGAAATCTGATTCTTACCTAGAATATTTTACTTACCCACGGGACAAGTAAAATTTTCTTAAAACAAGTAATTTTGTGCTTAAAATAAGTAATATTTTCTTAAAACAAGAAATTGATTTTTTGCAGTGTACCCGCCGTCAATTAAGTTTGTTCAGTGCCAAACAGTTGCTCGTAACGCCTTAAAGACCTCTCCAAATCATTACATAAAAGACCTCTGAAAAACAACATCTGAGAGCAAAAACATTCAGTAGGACGTCTACACCTCGACAAAGGAAGTCCTTAAAACTTTTACCTCCGGACAAGAAGACAAACTGCAGAATCATCTGATTTTGCAAGGCTCCTTCTTCTCAAATGTCATTAAATAAGTTTTCACTGTCGAAATTAAACGGCATATGGTCTAAATCCCAATCAAACCTCCCAAAGAACATTTATAACTTCACCATTCGTTACATTAATAACTCACTTCCAACCCGTAAAAACCTTACTAAATGGGGAATATTGTCCAACTCTGATTGCTCCTTCTGCTTAAACCCTGAATCCCTTTTACACGTAGTTGCTGGATGTCAAACGTACCTCCCACGATTTACATGGAGACATGATTCTGTTCTGAACTTCATAGCACAAACGCTACAACCTGTAAACAACTCCAATCTTTTCGTCGATCTTCCTGGTTATAAAAGCCCATCAATTGTAACTGGTGACACATTCCGCCCAGACCTACTTCTATCTATCAACTCGGATTGTCTCTATATCCTTGAACTTTCTGTTGGCTATGAGTCTAATCTACAAACGAATGTTGATCGGAAAAGAAGAAGATACGAAGATCTCATTACACAGCAAAAGAAACAATTTAAGTCCGTAAAATTTGTAAATTTGTCAATTAGTTCTTTAGGCGTTTTCTCAAAAGAATGTCATTCCTTTTTAGATATGTTAACTGATCTAGGTCTTGATAAAAGACACCAATATTTCGCTATCAGGAAAATTATGTCTATCGCGATTAGGACAACATATTATATATTTTGTTGCAGAGATAAGGACTGGTTAAATCCGGATACTCATTATTAATATATAAATATTAAGTAGGTTCAAGTAGTCAATTATAAATTACCTAAATTAGTGAGATTTATAATTGTATATATACGTAAATAATTTCAATAAAGTTTCCATTATTATTATTATTATTACAAACAAATGTTGATCGGAAAAGAAGAAGATACGAAGATCTCATTACACAGCAAAAGAAACAATTTAAGTCCGTAAAATTTGTAAATTTGTCAATTAGTTCTTTAGGCGTCTTCTCAAAAGAATGTCATTCCTTTTTAGATATGTTAAATGATCTAGGTCTTGATAAAAGACACCAATATTTCGCTATCAGGAAAATTATGTCTATCGCGATTAGGACAACATATTATATATTTTGTTGCAGAGATAAGGACTGGTTAAATCCGGAATTACTGAACATTTAAGGATACTCATTATTAATATATAAATATTAAGTAGGTTCAAGTAGTCAATTATAAATTACCTAAATTAGTGAGATTTATAATTGTATATATACGTATATAATTTCACTAAAGTTTCCATTGTTATTATTATTATTATTATTATTATTATTTTTTGCTGTCGAAACAAAGAGTGGACAAACCCTGAATTGTTAAACATTTAAATTAATAACTACATATAACAATATATATAATCATATACCCATTTTATTCTTGTTTTTACTGTAAATAGTACATATGTAGTACTCTGTGATTCATGTAGCCAATTGTAAATTACCTAAGTCAGTAGTGAGATTTACAATTGTATATATACGTAAAAAATTCAGTAAAGTTTTCATTATTACTATTTATACCATCAATGATCGCGGGCGTGACCAACGATCTTGAGTGGTCATG